TTTTGGATCTCAACCATGCTGCCCTGTATAACACCTTGTAAGCTTTTTAGTTCTTATTATCTCAACAACAGGTCTTGATCTCTTGGCAGTGTGGGGTGGGAGGATGCAGTGGAGGATTTTAAGAGGAAGGTGAGAAAGAAGGTAGAATGGACTCTTTGCGTCATTCTTTAGTTTAATCTTCTCAGGTTTGCAGCTGGCTCTGACCCAATAACCATTGCTCTTCTTGCTTCAGCAATGCTCTCTTTTCTGGATGCTATCCCACTAGTGCTGGGAAGGTTGCAGTAAACTGATGTGTCCCAGCTTAGGTTGCAGTATGTCACAACAACTTTGAAAGAGCGTGTAGCAGCTGCCTGATTCCTGGCCATGATGCGCTGGCCATAAATAATGCTGCTCACCCGACCTACATGCTTTACTACAGAAAAGCTGACAAGGAAAAGGACTGCAGTGCAGTGAGACTTTAAAAATATATTAAAGGCAAATTTCACCTCTGGTGTCCCTCAGTAGCAGTTCCATTGAGCACTGAGGAACTGAGCCTGAATGTATGTTGCTTATTTTAAAAATACGATTAAGTGAGAAAAAAAAACAAACAAAAAATAAGGAAAAATGCAGAGGCAGTGATAAAGAAATTTCAGAAGCAGGAGGAATGTCAGAATTACAACAAAGAACTTGATTTCTGCCTATCTTGGAAGCGCCTCCACCTATTCGCATTCCCAAGCCTACAAACCTTTCCTCAGATTTACAATCCACATTGCACTGGGAGTCTGGAGTATTCCTGCTCCCTCTCTAACACCTCTACCCTTAACTGAGCTGCAGAACCTGTCTCCAACTCCCTGGTGGTCTGAGACGGCTGAATTATAAACCTGCTTGGTGGATCTGGATAGGGTTGCATAAAGGGAGGACTGGTAAAAATCTGATTCTAGAAGTCTTCACCGTAATTCCCATCCTTTGAAGAGTTACGATCCATTCATTTTCCCTATGAAATAATCCCTCAGTACCTGTAGTGCTGCCCTCTCAAATCAAACACAAACCTCCGCACTTCTGCTTTAATCAGCTGCTGATTAAAATCACAGTTCTGGTTTCCCAAGCTACATAATCCTGCTAGTTCATTCTTAGACCTACTTTTCCTAGCACACTGTATCCATTATACCAGTGTTGTCCCCAGTTTTAAAAGTTTGTGATTTTTCAGCAGTCTGATAGCATTCTGCTTGGAGACAGTCTCTCTTGCCATGAAAAGGATCTGTTTGTTACACAGAATTACGTGGTTTTGAGAGCTGCACGTATCAAGCTTAACTGTATTAATTACCTTGTGCTGTGTTTGTAAAGTGGTCATAATAATGCTTATCACAGTTTTAGTACTGCTATCTCTGTCGTTCAGATAGTGGAACTGAGCTACAGAAAGGCAAAGCCCAGTGTAGGGTTCTTGAGCTGGCCATGCTGCTCTTATTTCCCCTATGTCACTGTAAGCAGCTTGGAGGAAAAGCTGTCCAAGCAAACTCTGGATGGGTTTGTCCTCTGAGTAAGAAAAGCTTTCTGGGATGCTGCAGGACTATTGCCTGGACTGTCAGACCGTGCCTTCCAGATCAGGGGCCTTCCATTTTACCACCCAAAGTAGTAAACTGCCCTGCTTGTCAGCCTGTCAGCTTACCACTCACACTGGCCTTATGGCTTATTAATGATTTGATGACTCACAATCCATCACCAGTTTTGTTTCTCAGTGGATTTTCCTTTTCTTATGCCATAAACAAAGTTTTTCTTCCCACTTTGTTAAGACATAGCCTTTAATTCATCCAACCTCCAAAAAGTTCACTAAGACTTCCCATAGATAACGGGTGAAATTTCAGTTAAAGATAAGTTAAAGGATATAGTTCTCTTCAAACTGCACCAACATGCTCACGATGATATACAATGATATGATTCTTTCCATTCAACATGTTTTATAGCAGTAGAGAGAGGTTACAGGCTGCATGTAGTGGGATGAAGCAGAGCAATCAAGTCTAGAGGCCTCAGGCACTCAGGTATTCCTTTATTTGTTTCTTTATGACTCAACCAACGACAAATAAAAGCCAGATCTTTCTATTTTAATAGGCTGTTTGAAGATAGATTATAATAGAATCAGTGAAACACCAAATGTAAGAGATGGCTGTGTTACTGCCCATATACAGCTCTTCAGAGATTTTTTACAGGCTTCCTCTGATAACCAAGTTTGAGAAAGTTGATGCCTTTGCTTTTTCTTCTGCTGGGCTGTAGCTGATGTTGCACTGATTTGCTCAAAATCAATCTGACCATCTGGTATGGTGATCATAAGTACTATTTGCTAGCTTTAAAAATGACAGTTTCTGTCTCCTATTGTGGCTCACTAATGGGATCAAGTATGCACTCTGCAGAAAGCGATCATTTCAAGTTAGCTGAACAGAACATTGTGGTCATCTGCAAAATGTTTGCAATTATAATATAGAGTGGCATTCATATAATATGTCCTGTAAGCTATTCCAGAAGTATGACACTGCAGTTCTCTCCTATGAAAATCCCTCAGGATTACCTGATTACCTCCCAAGGATTTATAGAGTTGCACTCCTCAGAAACCCACTACAGCTCCAAATACTCAATTCTCAAAGACAGATTGTGCTGAAGACTCTAGACTGATGATGTTATTAATGATGCAGCAGGCTCTGCTGCTGTTTGTTTAGCTAAAATTAGAAGTTGACCCTATGTTCCTGAATTAATTTACAGGCAAAAACACAAGTTACCAATTCTGATGATTTTTATGGAATTACAGACTCTACAGACAAAGCTTAAAAAGGTATCTTCCCTGAACTGTGTCAGTTCTTCTGTCATTTTGAAATGAAAAGTGACTGGGCTAATTGATACGTATGAACAATAACCCCTGAGCAATTTCCAAGGTAACTCCTTATCATGCTGTGTCGGACATCTATGGATAAGATTCTGAAAGCTTGTTTTAAATGCTTGAAAACAGCTGGATAAATTCAATGAGTGTTAACTGGACAGACCTTGGTCTATTGGCTGCTTGGCTGTACTAAAAGCATATAAAGTTGAAGAGCTATTCTTTGCATCTCTGAATGGTCTTGATAGCTAAAAAAATTAGTAAAAAGAACAGGGAGTGCTGATCTTTGACAGCAATAGCTGGTCAAGATACATTAGTGATATTTCAGAAAGTATGTAAGGTTTAAAGTGCTGAACTTGAAACACTGGGAAATGGTCTGTTTTCACAGGCTTTTCCTTAATATCAGTTTTGGGTTTTCTCAGTGGGCTTCAAAGCAAGATATACCAAAATCAATATCCAGTTCTGAAAATATAAACTGATATTAGAATATTCAGATACTCCTTGCTGGAAACCTTACGGTTTCCAACCAAATGTAGTTGACATGCACGCACCCTACATCTAATTCTGGGGCGGGGTGGCATGGTATTATTTCAGGTAAATAAGTGAATATGAAGGTACGTAAGATACAGCAAAGATGATATTTTCTACGTTTGCAATACCTTTAATTCCAGTCTTTCAGGTATCTTTAAAAGATTTTTCTCCAGACACCAACTGGCCAGGAGATGGTGTCAGTGGTGTACTTATAAAGAGACAACGCATGACAAAGAAAAGCAAAGTGACTCACACACTCATATGAACTCTGGTAAAGACATCTCACCCTCCTCTAAGAGCTGCTCCATCTCTTGGGCCTTTCGTTGGACTGTTCTGATTATTTCCATTATTAATAATAATTATTGTTTAGCGTTGCTGTTTCAATATCACAAGCAAGCAATGATATGAAGGCAAACATAATTCCCTTGAATCATTTGGGATACATTAATTACCTACTTCATTACCTAATAATTTATTATCAGGTAATTCAAAATAGAATAAACCAAAGCTTACATCCCTCAGGAATAGCAGATGTGAGTGAAATAAATTCAGTCATCCAGACATTTTTGACTTCTCTTCTAAGCTTTAATCTGTGGCTAGTAATAGGTAGTTTGGAAAAATGCTCCTCTCCAGAACAACAAATGCCACATGTCGTTCTGGGCAACCTGATCTAGTTGAAGATGTCCCTTTTCATTGCAAGGGGGTTGGACTAGATGACCTTTGAAGGTCCCTTCCAACCCAAAATATTCTATGATTCAATGTTCCCTTCCTCCTTCAATTCCTGTCAGAAGCCAACTCAGCTGAGATCCCCAGTTGCAGAGAGACCTCAAACCTTTCAGCCTCCTTTTCTATCACCATTGTTGATCCCCCATTTCTTCACTTTCTAGTCTTCATTTTCCTGCTGTAGTTGCAATCATTACCGTCTGTCCAATACGCCACTAAAACCACGTCTGCAGTAATGTAATGCCACCTTCTGGTGTGGTGGGCTGGCTTCTCACCCTCACACCTCCTTTATTGTTTCCTCTCTCACCAGCCTTCTGTTCAGTTATCACTTTCATTGAGCTCACTGATGAGCTCAATTGAGTAAACGCAATTGAAATGGAAAATACCTCAAGTTGAGTAAACACTGATGCTCACAGGGTCTCCTTCACTTCATGACTTTGTCTATGCTACTTCTTAAATAAGCTTGTGAGATTATCATCGTAAATCTTTCCTTCCAGCACTCCCTCACTTTGTGCAAGGTTGCAGTATTGCTTTCCTGATTGCTTTTCCACCTCTGCTCCTCTCACTGGGAGTATGCCATCAGCCAGGAAAGGCTCTGTGAGCAAGGAAACAGTAGTTGGTATTGGGCAGTCGATGGTGGTCAGCTAACACAGCTCCTTGGCACTAGGCTGTTGCTATGACCCCAGGTTATTCATGCACTGTTTTGCACTTTATCAGCTACTTTAATCATTACCAAAGAGAAGGAAACAAAGGCTCTTGTACTTCGTGTGTTACTGTGCAGTCATAGCTAGCGTGGAGCCTTTAGTCTCAGCCTATGCTCTCTTGAAGTGATGAGGCCAGGTACAGCCTGAGTTTGCTGCTCAGAGGCCCCAGAAACAAAAAGGAGAAACAGGGAAAACAGTACCTTGATATTTCATTGCTCTGCCTTCTTCAGGGAGGTTTCCACAGCTTCGTGTGCAAGGGAACCTGCCCCAGCCTTCCCCAATGCATGGACTGTGCTTGCCTCTGACTTTGCACAGATCACACAAAAAGGGGCAGCTCCTCTTGTCCTCTTATTTCTTGTCTGTCCATGCTAAAGCTGGGGGCATCCTAATATAGTTCTTGTGCAGGGATATGCCTTGATACTTGTATCTAAATGGCTTTGTTATCTACAATGGTTATTATCTTTCAGATTTAACATACTGGACAAAGTGTCCTAGATGGCCTGGGAAAAGAGCCATCAGGAGTAAAGGCCACTGAAATCAATCATGCTGGTGATTTATTTATGTGGTTGAGTACTGTGACGGTAATAGCTGTTTCTGCTTGGCCAGTAGGCTCTAAATTTGAAGATATTTTTTAAAATTACATAGCTATTCCAACCAAAACTTCCTGTTTATTGTCAAATATCTTAACTCTAGGGGCACTTGGCATCTAAATACCTCTAAAAATGGATCCAAGTGATTGAGATGGCTAATTTATATTTTCAAACTGAGTTCTTTAGGAGTCTAAATCTAGTAATTTTTCAGGATTGCTAAACTAATGGTCCTCTTTCCACTGTTGTTGAGCATTGGAAGCTTCTGCATCTATGTTTGCCAAATAAATCTATTGCTCTTCAAATTTCACATAGAACAGCTTTTTTAAAAACAAATCCTATCTATCACAAAATACTTTTTCTTATGAAGCTGCTTTGCCTGCAGTAAGACTATTTTACAATGAGGCTGTTGAGCCCACCACATGCTCTTCAAATTGGTCTTCGTCCTGCAAATACAGAGAGCCTCCATCATTTCTGAGTGCAACTTGGATTCATTGCCCTGAGACTACTGCAGAAAGGATCATTCAGAAAAGCAATGTAGACCCTGAAGATGATGTGTTGCCCTTGCGTTATTTAAAAATGAGAACTGGTAAGGAGATAATGCTCAATTCTGTCAGGAGAATATATTTATAGGATATATCAATATTTCTCTAGAGTTCATCATTTCAACTTTTCATCTAACTTCTGCAGAGAATGAATGTGAAAATATTGTAGTGTTCTCCAGGATGGAAATTCTGAAACTTGATCAGTTGTGTTCACAAAGCTGGAAGTACTTCTTGTTTGGGAAAGTTTTCTGTCCCCCACAATTAACTGAAGAAGAAGTCTTTTCTCCCAGGAATTATATAGACTGGCATTTTTACTTAGGAAGAGTGGACAAAAACGTCTGCTTGTTCAGTATGTTTCCTTTTAAAGACCATTCTTTAAGAAATTGAAAAGGCCTGAGTGTGTAAGTGAAATCGTGTTTGAATACAAATGATAGTTAATACAGAATTGGAAATTTGTGTATGAGAATGCGAGAAAGTAGGAAGTAGGCATGTGTGATTTGGGTACATGCGTATATGGAATATTCCAGGGAATATTCCTCAGGGAAAAATCCTCAGGGAAACAGCAACAGAATTCAGGAAATACTTAATCAGTAGTTTGACCATAAATGCAGCTCAAGCCTGGTAAATAAGTGACTACTCAAGGTAAGGGTGCCAGGAGTATTTTTAACAGGCTACTGCCTGTTAGTTTAAATGGGCCTTTTAGCCTCATGCCTTTCTTAGATATAATGTTAAGAAACTCCTTGGGTGTCAATGCATCATATTTTGTTAAAATACTTCATTATTTTCTTCAGGCTGTCTTTGAGCTGAGAGATCTGTTGATTAAAAGGTCATTTAATTGCTACAGGTAGGATGCCCTTCAGGAGATTGCTGTCCTCACTCCTGCTGTGATTGCTGTTGTTGTAGTGATGGTGTTTTCCAAACACTGGTTTGGAAAAAAAAATCTAGGGTCATGATTAATATATAATTATGATAATGAATTATGATGGCTGCAGTATGCCTTCCTGTAATGCCAATGGGAGATCTGCACCCATACCCACAATAAGATAAGAGTCTTTAGGTGGCATTTACAGTAATTAGATTAGTTAGAGAGGTGTTACAGTAGTATTACTACTGTGCAGCCCTTGGACTGACTATTCAGCTAGCCCATGTGCAAGGGCAATACTTCCCCTTATTTTGGTGAATAAGGACTATCACAGCTACCTGGGAAGAGGTTGGCTTTAGCTGGACTATGAGTGCACCTGTGGCTGTGCAGCAGTGGAAACAGGTCCAGCCATCTAAACTCACCAGTTTCAGGGCATGGCAACCTTTAGTTTCCTGTACAGACATGTTGAAAGTTTATTTCTGAGAAATTCAGGAAATAAAAAACATTTTGCATAAGCTGTCCATTTGCATTAAGCCATGTAAGTGTCTGAGTAAGACTGTGCTTATGCTTTGCATGCATAGCTTTTCTCATTTTGCTTTCTACAGTTTCTCTTTCAGCTCACATAGTTACTGAACTTAGTATGATTAACTGCATCCAGGCAGACATTCAAGTGAGAAGTCCTTTCTATTATACTCATAAGTTCTTTTTGTCACTATTGTGGAGCATATGGGTACATACCTACATACATAATACATCATAATTTTGAAAGATGGAATGAACTAATTTTTTGTTCATTTCCCTCTCAAGGATAGTGTTAAAAAGTCTGCAGGATTGGCATCAACAGTTTAGTTGGCTGAACGGTCCTGGTGACACTTCAAACACAATTGAAACAGATTCTGTTGTACAAATGGCAAAGGAAAGGAAATGCAGAGCCTAGCTTAAGAAGGATTTAAGAGTGATATGCATGAAGAATTAGGGTGTCAAAGCAAACTGGAGAATTCTGGAGTGATCTGGTATGCTCCGAGGCAGAATTCAACAGCTGTTTGCAGATCCTGATAGCTCAATAAATTCTGTTTTTAAAACTGGGAAAAAGGGGTATGGTTTCCTTTAATGACTGTGGAAGAACCTGAGAGGCAGGGGTGAAGGAGAAAGGGGCAGGCTGACCAGTCCAGGCACTAATTAGGGTCAAGGTCTCTTAAGGAAGTTAATGAGTTTCTAAATAGCCAACTAGCAGCTGATAGGGGGTGGAACAATAGTCAGCCTCTGCATCCTGCTTTTAGTTCTGCCCTAAAGTGAGAGATACCTTACAGAGATCTAGACAATGTTTAGTGGTCAAAAATCTTCCACTAGGAAATAGCTGCTTCTGATGTAAAAACTTTTTCTTACACAGCGCAAGAGAATATGTTTTTAGTGTCTTGAGGTTGGTGATGACTTTACATGGGTACATCTTGAATCTTACTGCAGTGCTCAGGATAGGATTCTGACCGTTCTGCTCTCTCTGACCCTGCCTTTGGCTATACTTCTGACAGTGTCTGGCATGACTGCCCTTGTTTGTACTTCTCCCCCCTCTTTGCATGTCAGATAGCTTTTGCCATCTTTCTGGCCTTGCTGGGTAAACATTGCACTATCATGGCTTTTGTATAGCATTTCTTTGGGTTTGAGAAACATTGAAAGGCAAAAGAAATGCAAGCAGGTAAATGAATAAAAAAAAAGATATAAGATGGGAGGCCAAATTGGGATGGGAGCACAAACCAGTGGCAGAATATGCTCTTAGCACAGACCAGAAAATTACCCTGGAGAAGCGTGGGTTCTTCTTCAGTGTGTGGACATGTTATCCTGAATCAGGACAGAAGTGCATGCCTGCTGGCGTGCGTGTTCCACTGTGGGTGTAAGTACACCCATTAGCTAAGCACCCACCTGTGGATATGTGAATCAATCATGCAGCGACAGTGAGGATTTGCTCTTTCAGGTTCTCAGCTCCAGAAGGGCCTGGTCTTTCTGAACTGCTTGCATGGTGGACCTGACTTCATCAGTTTTGTTCCCCACAAGACTCTATGCTACTCATGTCTAATAGGTATTTAATAACATGTGTGGCCTAAGTAAAATATTTTATCTGCTATAAGGTTCCCTTTCATTTTCACTGCCTTACCAGCCGGTGGATCTGCATCAGGAAAGACCAGTGCATTTCTTTCCACTTCGAAATACTTGTCATGCCTGTGGTGGCTCATTTATGAGTCATGTCTTTTCTAATCACTATAAAAGTAATGCTAATATAGCAACAAGCTATTAAGAAACCCCAGAATATTTGGCCCACACTATCAATTGAGCGTGATCCCACAGCTGTAATTAACTGCGTAGTGTTTGGTAGCGTGTTGTGTCCACAGCCTGCCTTCCCTGTGCTGAATTTCTACTCCCTGTGTTGTTCTTACAAGCTCAACCAAGAGTGAAAAGCAATGCTCAGAAAGGAGACATTTCTTGACTGAATGTCAAGGAGGCCAGGAATTCTCCTGTGATGTGGTGGCATGTCTTCTGCTGTTCTTGTTGACATAACCCATGGTGATAGCTAAAGTTTTATGATCTTAACATTGAAGGCATTGTTTCCAAACCAAATTACCTGCACTTTCTTTTGGGAACAAAACCCACCTAATTCTCTCCCACGTGTAAAATAGGTAGCTGTTAATTCACTTGTAGATTATGCTCTGCTTTTATGTGATAGCAGTTGTTTTTTCTTGGATGTAATGGCCTAAAGATACTGCTTTACTCATGTCATGTTCATCATTCTCTTATAACTGCTTTTGGTTAATAATCTTTGACTCAGGACCCTGATTAGTGGACAATATACCTCACGGCCACACCTGTATAAACTGGTTACTTGAACAGGATATGGCTTACTGTAGGGGCATCATTTAATGAACTTCAATACTGTTCCCTTTAAACTAGCATATGAAAGGGAATTGCCAATGAGTCATGTGTTATTTGCAGATTATTACTATCCAGAACTTGGTGCCAAGGAAACTAATTTATTCTCTGTTATTACTGTATTATTCATTACATTGTGCAATAGATCAATTCCAAATATAAATACATTTAGTAGACCATGGCTAGGAACAAATCCTGTTATGTTCAAGTACGTACATGCTACATGCTAGCCCCGGCACAGGGAATCAGAAGTCTCATGTAGTTTCTTTGGATTTTTCATACTCTGTTACTAGTACTTTGATACATGTTTCATTGTTTGGGTTTTGTTTTGTTTTGTCCTTTGGCTGTTTCATTTTTGATGGTAGCTTCAAAGAAATGGCTTGTACAGAACATTTTGGACTTTGTTCTGAAACCCATCATGCTCACTGGGTGTCTCCTGTCTATTTTTGAACTCTCGGTGTCTGTGACGGTTGCATAAAGGTTTTGGGAGGACATAATTTCCCCTCGACTTTCCAACCAGGATTCCGCAGTTAAGGT